TTGCAAAGTTATTGCAAAAATTTTTTATAATTAAAATATAAAATTAATTATAAAAAATTTTTGCAATAACTTTGCAATTGGAATAACTTTATTAGAAAAAAATCTAAAAAATTCAGAAAAAATATATGTTAAAATATAACTTATAGTTTTTGTTTTAATATATGTTATTTAACAAATTTTTAATAAACAATTAATAAAACTAATAAAATCAAATTTTTTATATTTAATTTAACAAAAATTAAAATAATTATATATTCTAAACTATGTTTTATATTTTATTTAATAAAATTTTAATATTAATTTCTAGCTATATTTTATTATATTTAAATTAAATTAAATATTTTAAATTATTATTAAAATAATAATATCTAACTTGAAATAAATTTAATAAAAATTAGCTAAAAATCAATAACAAATTTATTTAAATTTTTTTCAAATTTAATATTATTATTTCAAAAATATTTGAAATATTTAAAAGTAGAGTACATGATATTATGCACTTTATTCTTAATCTAATCTAAGCCTAATAAAAAGTATTTTTATTAGATTAAATTTTCTGAAAGATTTTTTGAATTCTAATTAATAAAATATAAATTTTAAAAAAATTTAATTAAAAGTATCAAATATTCAATAAAAAAAATTATATAGTATTTTAAAATAATATAAATTAATTTTATTAAAATATATTAAATTTCTGAAAAATTTAATAATATTTATTATATAGTAACTAATTATAATAAATCAAAATACCAAAAAAAAACTAATTTATTTTTGATTTTGAATTGAAAAACAAAAATTTTTCAAAAAGCAAATTTGCACATATATTTTAAATGACTAAGATTATTAATATTGAATTTGAATACATTTTTTTATATTTGGATAATTTGATATATTATAAAATTTCAAAATTTTATTTTATAATATGATAAAAAATATTCAAAATTATAATTATAATCTTTTGCTTACCAAAGCCAATTCAGAATAAAAATTATCTTTATTTTGATTTTTAAAAATAAATACTCATTGTTAATAAAGATAATATGCTTATTGGCTAAATAATTAATCAATTAAAAATCTTGAATTGCAATCCAGTGTTATTAGAAGTGTCCAATTGGACACAACACTGCTGTAACCTTCTTTTGTTACTTGTGCCAATTGTTTGCAACAAAAGATCTTTAGTATACAAGATGAATCAATCTCTCGCGAACCATTTTTGACTAGCAAATAAATATTGCAATGCAGACAATCCAAATTCCGTTAATGTAAAAAATCTGATAATAAAATAAGTATTATGATATCTCGCATAAAATTGATGGGTTAGTATTTAAACACGTCAATAAACCATCATTGTCTATTGACTATTGTCATATTAGATGGATCTAAGTTCATTGTTAGACATAGATGGTTGTATGAAATTTAAATATCCATGTAATTTCTATTCAAGATTGCACGAGTATTTTGAGAGCACTTTATAAGTGCAAACATCTATGGTAAGCTCAATTGTAAGATGTACTTTGAAAGTCTTAAACGTTTTATAACTAGTTTAAATAAAATGTTTAATTTACCACTGAAGTAAAAGAACGAAATAAGAATGGGAAGTATAAATCCATAAAATTCTCTTACTTAACCACACTATGAAACCTCGTTATAGTAAATGTGACCGGGTTATTAGATTTGGTATAAACTAGTTTTTATTAAATTAATTAATTACACGTAGTGAGTTACTATAACGAGGTTTGTTTTGCAAATCCTTTAATTGTAACATACAGAATAACGATAACTTGCATGTTTATAAAGTTAGTTCGAGCAACAGTGACAGCGTTGATTTCTCACTGTAATGTCATTAGTTCCTTTTCTATTGATAAGCTTCCGATTCTCGCATTTCGTCATATGAAATTGCAATTTTTAATTTATATGCTGTGAAACCGCAAAGTTTTTGTATTCTGTGATATTAATCTATCACTATAATTGGAAAAACTTTCACTTTAATTTTCTCCTTCAGTTCATACCGATACCTCGGAAAAATACAAATCTGACACCGAACGACCGAATGAATCAAAAAAAGGCTAATTAATTTAGTTTAAGTTCGATTCCGGGAGGATTTTCGTGAGTTTAAAATAACTTCGATAACGTGCTTCGAACAAGAATTTTTACTTGTCTTTTTTGTGTTATTAAATTAATTTTTCTCAAAAATTTCTAAATTAAGTTTATCATTTATCGTTATCTTATCTCAGTTATGTTTGCACAAGATTATTATGAAAGATCCTTGCATAGAAAATAGTTTATTTACATAACACATACGTGTTTATTTTGCCTTGATGTATTATTCCCAAGGCTTATATTGGTCAATCTCGTTGTTCATAATAGAGTTTGTACCTTGTAGATTAGAATTGTTGATGATAATGAACTTTACGTCTGATTTAGATGACATTTTGATGAATTTCTGATTGTTCCCATTCATAAATCGAAGGATTGAACTAATTACTGACATACATAATCTATTGAAAACAAACCAACGATGTAGAGACCATCTAACATTTATTTGTCTAATCAATAACGAGACCAACCATTCAATTAAACGAGCACTTTATGCCCGCTTTGTTATAAAATGAGGTCCACCCGTTTCCGCTTTTTTTTTTAACCCTTTCTTTCTTAGATCGAGATACTATAAATATTCTTTCTTTCTCAGATCAAGCTATTATAAAGTATTAATAATTTCTTTCCGTCTCTCTCTCTCCCTCTCTCTCGCGCGCGCTTACGCACTCTATTTTCAAACATGGATGGAGCCGTATGCTTATATGTGTGTGAGAGAGAGAGAGAGAGAGAATAAGTTGACGGTTACATATATTGAAATTGAAACTTGAAATTATTTCTTGACGATTTTTATGAATTGCGCAATTGTCTACAAATCCTTAACGTTAATGATTTATTTATTTATTCATTTATACTTATTTTGTGTGTGAGAAATATTCGATATCCGTTTTTTCTCACTCACATGACGTCATCACCGCCGATTAAATCAAATATCACACTGATTGTTTTTCGTCCATTATTGACAGTGTATCACGTCATTCGTGAAATTGTACTTTTCGATCACGCGCCGTTTTTTCGACGATTATGATCCTCTTTTTGCATCCTCTTTTTTTTTTGGAGACACCTTTCACAACATTCACATAACGATAACACTGTTTACACCACGATATGCACTCCTATATCGACCATTCATTTATGCACAGTTTCAGAGTTTATTTTATTAATTTACGTAGTTAGTTACCTACTTATTGTTATAATAACCACATTTTATTTTGGCACGGAGACATGAAAAACGAACATTATCGTGATTTTTTAGGATATTATTAGTTTTTTTTTTATTGTTGTTTGTATTATTTACTGGGTGAAATATTATTATTTACTGGGTGAAATATTATTATCTATATATTACCAATATTGTAAAGATTATTCTTTACAGAACATTTAGTAGAATTATAATCAGATTTTCCCTATTTCTTTAGAGAAAATATACACACATATAAACATTTATTCTTTGACAGTTATCATCATGTCTTCACCACAAAAAAATGCGTTACATTATTCAAAGTATGACTTGACGAGTAAGTATTAAACTCTCTTCGAATACGGTGACATCGGTTACTTTTTTGATCAAAAAACTTTAGGATTCTTAATCAACAGACCGAGAAGGTATTGCTCCTCCGCCTTATAAACGGTTGATTCAATCGGTACGTTAACATTCATTCTCTTCATAGTCAAAAAAAATAAATACATCTGATATTGATCCTATTCTGATTAGGTAACTGTTGACTCATGGGTAACTAAATTTGGAGGTCCGTTCTGTTGGAGTACGTTTACCGAGTACCATATTACCACAGTTGTGAGCATTTTCGTTACTACATTTCATCGATTCGCACGTTGAAGAAACGCATTTATTCAATCTATGATTTTTTTTCAGTTTAAAACAGACAACGGATCCATTGGAGAAGCAGTCACGCGTAAAAGATATAGTGAGTTTTTGGCGTTCTATCAAAAACTTGCAGCAAAATACGGGTGGATAAGATTGCCCCCGTTTCCGGATAAACAATATTTTGGTGAGTAGATACTTTTTGTTACCTTGAAACCAATAATAAGTATTAACGTGTCGTACGTATATTGGGAAATTGCAGGAAATAATAATCCGGAATTTATCGAGAAACGACGCCTTGAATTAACGAGGTTCTTGCAAACCTTGACAGAGTGGCGTGATAATGATGTGGATGTTGTGTCGTTCCTGAAGATCGCTCCAGAGGTAATGTTGTTCTAGCATTTATTTATTCTCTATTTTATTACAATATATTTATATTCCCATTTCTACTATAGAATATAATAAAGAACAACGATGATCACAGCACAAATAAAATCCCAAAACGTGGATGCCTACGAAATAATAATAGTCTTTGTACGCCTCCTGCCTCACCTACGCCCTCTTCCGATGTCAATAAAGAGGCTGACGTTGTAGTTGACAGCGAGACTATGAAACAACGGCGGGTATCGTGGGACAATAAAGTCGAAGTTTACATATTAAAGATTGAGCCTTACTTTTTTCATAAAGGCCATCATCAGCTGATGTTCGCGGATATGCGAAGTTAATTGATTCAGAGTTCATCATTTAAATCGAGGCGCATCTTGTGTGTCTCGTTCTTGTCCTTCCTTGACTTTCACTCAAAGTAAATTCAAGTCTCGTTGGTTTCTTGGGATCGAATTTCGAATTGATGTAAATGAGGCGAAAACTGCAAACCTTTTTTTGTACATATGCTTCTGTTCTATAATTCTCTTTTCTTCTCCCCACTTTTTTCTAACCTCAATTAAAGGAGATACTCTGTTCTGCTTTTCATTTTTTTTTCTGTTTTTTTCTGCTACCTTGTTTTCTTTTTACTTCTTATTACCACATCCACCCATCGCGTGTTTTTTATCCGCTGACAATCGCATATGACAAAAATTTTTCTTTTTTATTTTTTCTTTAACGAATGAATGTTAACGTACCGATTGAATCAACCGTTTATAAGG